TCCATTATCACCCGCAAACGCTATTTGCAGATAGTTGTGGTTGTAGGCGTTTGACAACAATTACGGAAATTGTTTCACACCTATAGGATTTCGGGAAGGTTACAATCTTACTAGCTACTAGGATATGATCCGCGGTACACCGCGAGTTAATTATTTGATATTTTTTTTTATCTTTTTATAAACTTATGAATTTGTTGTGTATAATAATTTTTGTTGTACACTGCGGGTTACATGCGTTGTATATAAAAATAAATATTTTAAGTTGTATTTGTTTTGTTTACTCTTTAAGCTTGTATAATTAAATTTTGATTTGTTAATTCTAGGATTTCACCCGTGGTATATTGTTCCGTATTAATATCGATCCAAACCCGTCCCACCATATACTCATGTCCTGTGGAATTAAACATCATTTTCTTATTTTTTAATAACACTTTTATTTAAAAGACATATAATTCGAGTCGATTTAAAAGTTTATTTTCAAATGTTTTCCATAATATATATTTTTTAAATTAGTATGTGTTTTTGGACCAACCCGTAAAAACAATTTATAATTGTATCTTAACAAACGAAATATTTGTATTTTGATTTGTTAATTTTAGGATCTCACCCGTGGTATACTGTCCCGTTTTAGATAATTATAGAAATTAAGAAAATATCTGAATGACTCAATTTCGAGTCAGAATAAAAAAAACGACTTGATTAAAAATGTGCAATTTGTTCTTAAAAAAATGTTAATATAGATTACACACATACTTTTTTTCTTCATCGATTGAGTAATATATGTTTGTTTTAAGAAATTTGAATCATAACATATGCAGAAAAAAAAAACTAAAATTTATTAACTATATATATTTTATAATAATTCAAAATAATATAAATATAAGATCAAATAAAAGTGAAATGAGAATCATATATTGATGTTTAAATTAGGTAGAGAGGTTTTAGGAAATTAGCTCAAATTTATTATATTAGCATTAAATTATCATAATTGATTTCCTAATCTATAAAAATTGTAAAGAATATACCATAAATAAATAGTTTAGATATAGTAATTAGTTGAGAAAATATATATAATTTAGATTTTATTAGGTATTTTCGTTTTTAAATTTTGCCATAATTTAAGGAAAGATCCGATTGACGATTTCCGGGTCAAAATCAGAAAAAAACCCGATCCGATTAGAGGAGCAAATTTGTACTTCAAAAATGTTAAGTAGATTTTCATCACTCGTATTGCAGCCCCGAGAGTGAAATACTCAAAACAATTGTGGAGGCGGTTAAGAAACAGCTGAAGGCGGTTAAATCTCCATTGGAGGGAAGCCAAAACGCCTCTGAGGAACCTTCAGTATATAGCGACACTGGAACTTCCTTAGGGGGTGCAAAGGATAAGACTTTTGGAATTTTTGGAAACGAACAACGCCTAAAAGAATTGGAAGAGAAGCTGGATATTAAGGACACTAGAACTCTTATCACTGGAATTGTTGGGATGCCTGGAATTGGTAAAACTACAATGCTGAAGGAACTCATTGAGAAGTGGAAGGGAAAGTTTTCTAGGCATGCGTTTGTCGATCGAATCCGTGAAAAGTCATATAACTCCGATTTAGAGTGCTTGACCATATCGCTATTTGAAAAGCTACTACCGGAGTTGAATAACCCCCAAGTAGATAGTATAACAAAGGGTCAACTGCGCAAACGCAAAGTTCTTGTCGTTCTTGATGATGTTAGTGAAAGGGAACAAATATATGCTCTTCTTGGGATATATGATCTTCAAAATCAACATGAGTGGATCAGTGATGGCAGCAGGATTTTCATTGCAACAAACGACATGTCCTTATTAGAAGGTCTCGTTCATGACACTTATGTGGTACGGCAATTGAACCACAAAGACGGCATGGATCTTTTTCACCATCATGCCTTTGGTACTAATCAGGCCATTCCTGAAGATCGCATTAAGCTTTCAGATGAGTTTGTGCATTATGCCAGAGGCCATCCACTAGCTCTCAAAATATTGGGTACAGAGCTTTGTGAGAAAGATATGAAGCATTGGGAAACAAAACTGAAAATACTCGCTCAAAAGCCCAAAACTTATATTAGACAAGTGGTGCAAGTAAGTTATAACGAATTGAGTTCGGAGCAGAAAGATGCATTTCTCGACATAGCATGTTTCAGGTCGCAGGATGTGGATTATGTAGAAAGTTTACTGGTTTCATCTGACCCCGGATCTGCTGAAGCAATTCAAGTTCTCAAGAATAAGTTCCTGATTGATACTTGTGACGGTCGGGTGGAGATGCATGATCTAGTCCATACATTTTCTAGGAAACTTGATCTTAAAGGTGGTAGCAAACAACGGAGATTGTGGCGCCATGAAGACATAGTCAAGGAACGCACAGTTAATCTACTGCAGAACAGAATTGTGAGAGTAGAAGAAGTTCCTCTAGATTTTTATTGATCAAAGCTTACATTGTTTTCCTCTTTGCTAATATTGCTCTGGTTATTGTTATTATATATTATTCCCAGGGAGCTGCCAATGTCAGAGGTGTCTTCCTAGATTTGTCTGAAGTGCAGGACGAAATCAGCTTAGACCGTGAACATTTGAAAAAAATGCGCAATCTCCGGTATCTCAAGTTCTACAATTCTCATTGTCATCAGGAATGTAAAACCAACGCTAAGATTAATATTCCCGATGAACTTGAGCTACCATTGAAAGAGGTCCGATGCTTCCACTGGCTAAAATTCCCATTAAAAGAAGTTCCAAACGATTTCAACCCGATTAATCTCGTCGACCTTAAGCTGCCCTTCAGCAAGATTGAAAGACTTTGGGATGGTGTTAAGGTGTGTTTCTTAGTAAACAGTTTTATAGCCTTTTGCGTTAACCTGTGTAGTTTTTTCTGACTGGCCGCTAAATAAATGTTTTGCTGTCACAGGATACACCAGTCTTAAAGTGGGTCGATCTCAATCACTCAAGTCTGTTGAGCAGCTTGTCAGGATTATCTAAGGCTCCAAATCTTCAAGGACTGAACCTTGAAGGGTGCACAAGTCTTGAATCTCTTGGAGATGTGGATTCGAAATCACTGAAAACTCTCACCCTCAGCGGCTGCACAAGCTTCAAGGAATTCCCGTTGATTCCAGAAAATCTAGAAGCTTTACACTTAGACAGAACAGCTATAAGTCAACTTCCTGACAACATAGTGAACCTCAAGAAACTTGTCTTATTGACTATGAAGGACTGCAAAATGCTGGAGAATATCCCGACCGAGGTTGATGAGCTGACAGCTCTTCAAAAACTGGTACTCTCTGGTTGCTTAAAGCTCAAGGAATTTCCAGCAATCAACAAGAGCCCTTTAAAGATTTTATTTCTGGATGGGACATCCATCAAAACGGTGCCGCAGTTACCCTCAGTGCAGTATTTATACTTAAGCAGAAATGATGAGATCAGCTACCTTCCAGCTGGCATCAATCAACTATTTCAGTTAACATGGCTGGATTTGAAATATTGTAAGAGTCTTACATCTATTCCAGAGTTGCCACCAAATCTTCACTACTTAGATGCACACGGCTGTAGCTCATTGAAGACTGTTGCCAAACCGCTAGCCCGTATCTTGCCGACCGTGCAGAACCATTGCAGTTTCAATTTTACCAACTGTTGTAAGCTGGAGCAAGCTGCAAAGGATGAAATCACATTGTATTCTCAAAGGAAATGTCAGTTGCTGTCATATGCTCGTAAACACTACAATGGGGTATGGCTCTCTCTATATCTATATGTTTCTAGGAAACTCCACAATTTATGATTTTTCTTATTTATAATTTTGCAGGGTCTTAGTTCAGAGGCTTTGTTCAGCACTTGCTTTCCTGGATGTGAGGTGCCTTCTTGGTTTTGTCATGAAGCGGTTGGATCTCTGTTAGGACGCAAACTCCCCCCACATTGGCATGAAAAGAAGCTTTCTGGAATATCTCTCTGTGCTGTAGTCTCATTTCCTGCTGGCCAAAATCAAATCAGCAGCTTCTCGGTGACATGCACCTTTAATATAAAAGCTGAAGACAAATCTTGGATCCCCTTTACTTGCCCGGTAGGAAGTTGGACTAGAGATGGAGACAAGAAAGACAAGATTGAGTCAGATCATGTTTTTATAGCCTACATTACTTGCCCGCATACGATAAGGTGTCTTGAAGATGAGAACTCTAACAAATGCAATTTTACTGAAGCCTCCCTTGAGTTTACTGTGACAGGTGATACAGGTGTGATAGGAAAATTCAAGGTGTTGAGGTGCGGTTTGAGTTTGGTGTATGAAAAAGATAAAAACAAAAACAGTTCTCATGAGGTAAAGTTTGACTTGCCTGTTGAAGAACATCAATACGGCATGATAGAGGATGAGAGAAAAAAAGAAAAAGGGACATTGGTCCATGAAAGAAGAAGACGAACTTTATCAAAACAAAAAACAGCGTAACTCCAAGGCGGGATGAATATGTTTCAGGTGAACCACATTCTTACAAAAAAAAAACTCCTAGTAGTTGTTATAAAGAAGATTGTTCCTTAGTATGTCATTGGTGGAGAAAAATCCTCCTGGAGCAGTTGGTGTTCTTTTTGCTCTCTGTTGTAAAGCTACAACAACATCTGCTTCCTCCAAAAGCCCATCTTTTACCATCAGGCTAAATGATTTGGCAGAGTGATTTTTCTTTACAAAACCTTCTTTTTTACCATCATTTTATTTTATTTTGAATTCAGACTTCACAGTTCTGTCAAGTTACAGAGCAGAAAGGTAATCTCTTATTTCAGGGTCTGTGTATGACTCTGGTATCATTTTAAGCTCTGTGTGTAAGACTTTTCTTTTGAGGTTTGTGAAGAATTTTGTTTTCCTAATTCTATCTCACATTACTAAAATCCAACATAGCCAAAAACTCGTCTTTCTAATAAATTTTGATTTAAATAAAGTTTTCAAAAGAATTTTTGTAAGTGATCAAAACTTATGTTTTTCTTCATTTGATTCGTTCATGCGAGAATGATGAATATCAAAATTAAAAATCCCAATTCAGAAACATTACAATCCACAAAGACAACATAGTTTTTAGACTCGAACCAAAACATAACCGGAATCATCCAACCGTTCTTGCACAGCAAGAAGCCGGTTTACATAGACCAACATCCTCCACTGAACCGAACAAAGATGGAGCTTAACTTTTAGCAAAGTACGTTGTTATTCTTCACCACCTAAACCAAACATTACAACAAACGCAACTGAATACACATTTTTATCAACAGAAAATTACCTCTTCACTCCCATGGCATAAAATCATCCAATGTTCTTGGCATTAATGACTTAGATTTTTGCAGGACGGATTTCAATTCCTAGAATGATCAAGCCGCGCTTCCAATTGAGCAACTTAGTCTCTAGAGCACTTATCTCAATTTCATCACTATACATTTCTCCTTCAGTGAAGAATTCCCCAAGCTCAATCTCCATCCATCCATCTCGTCTCTTCTCTGGTTTCACTCGGTTACTAATTCCCTTCTCTCCCCTAAAAAACCGCTCATCAAAGCATATGGATCTTCTAGAAGGTTCATGTCCCACCACTCCCACTGCAGCTTCTATGGCCACATCTTTAAAGCCAGAACAGTTATCCTCTTTCTTGAACACAATGTAAGCCGAGTAACGAGTTTCTGGAGATAGGACACAAGTATTCACTCTGCCACAAATCTTGAACCAACATACGCTGACAAGCTCCGCTACTTTTCCAAACCTGCATAATACAGGGCAACATTTGACTGAGGCAAAGACAACCATGTACAGTATGGGAACATTTTTTCAAGGAGTCATTACAACAGCATTAATGCAAAGATAATGGAAAAGGGTACCTAGCTTCAGGAATTCGAATCCAATGCCAATGGTCAATATTTTCTCCCCATATGATACTGAGGTTATCCGCTAATAACATGATACAATTCTTCCCATTCGCTTTATCTAACCAGAAGCTCTGGTTTCGGAAAAAAAAAAAAAAAAAAAATAATCATGAATAGCAACGAGTTAGAAACTTCAAAGTTATACCAAATTTTGCACAAAATAGCAGAGATTTTCTGATTCAAGCTTGTTTTGTAGCCATAATTCTATTATTATTCTCAAATCATATGAACAAAGTGCAAAACCGATGAATAGATATGCATATATATACCATTTTTCCATTATCGATTAGAACCGGATCGCCGCAAAGAGCGAAATAGAGCTCCTTCTTCAATGAGAAATCCCGCGATCCAGGAACCAGAGATTCACAATCCGGCGGAAGAAATTTCTCCCATACGGTATCTGACTTGGCCGCCGCTTCGAAGAGTCTCGAAACCGAAGCGACTACGCACGCGTCTAGAGGACTGGTGAAAGATATTATGTTGGAGATGCAGTCCTCAGGCAAGGAATTGAACGATGCGACATTCTTTCCTCCGTCTTCGCCGTTAGTTTGCCACATTGGTGGGCTTGTTAAAGGAAACTGAAGAAAAGCTTGATATCAAAATGTTTTGTGAAAACTACTACAAGTGTTTATCTCAAACACTATCGTATATGTCTTATTCAATCCCTATAAACTTCTTTGACAAGATCGTAGAGTTCATACTATACTGAGTCAACAACATCCAGTAGCTATGATAGTCTGAAGACTTCGTCTTACATAAGTCGTTTGTTTACAAAACTACCCCTTGTTCTTAACGCGTGGTCTTGTAACAATACTAATTACACTCCTGGGCCTTGGGCTTAGCTTTTCAAATCTAGTGACATATCTTCGTTGAAATAAATAATACTCTCCCATTCTTTCCTAAATATTCTCTGTAGATTTTCATGGAGTATGCAATGAAGTTGAAAAAGCTTGATGTTCCCATGATCAAATTCTCATGAGCTCTTATTGTCAAAAACAAATTTATCATAATCTCCAATCTATATATACATTTTTGAAGTACACATATGAAATAAATCGTGGAGTTGCCACTTATTTACAAGAAAATGTCATTGTCATAAATGTTTATCTATTAATTAATATTACAAATTGATTAATGTTAG